AATCCTTCTTCAACTTCTTCAATGCACTTTTGGGTATATCTTCCCCATCTTTCGTCTTCGTCGGCATACCATCAACATCCCATGCACTAAATCTATCATCCTTGAACATATCCACTGGACTGAGTTTTGCTTTTTCGATCCTTTCTTGTTCCAACTTCTCTCTCGCAAGTTTGGCGGCTTCTTTTTGTGCTGCCTTCTCTCTTTCCTTAGCGGCCTTCTCCTCTTTTTGTGCTAAAAGTTCTTCTTTTGGAATGAATTTGATGAGCGAACCTTGTTCATCTGGTCTATCATCCAAATACACACCGAGATTCGTGAGATCGTTGTCACGAATTCGATCAGATAACGCCAAAATATGTTTCTTATGCTCAGAGGTTGGTGCTACTCGCCTCAACTCATCTCTAGTCCTCGCAACGGCCCGAATATATGGGAGAGCGAGAGCTTCCTGATCTTTTGTTCCCGAAGATACAAGCGAGGACAACTCGCTATCAACATCTGTAGCGAGCAGTTTGTCAAGAGTGTCAGTATGTAACGACAGACCCTCAATTTCTTCTTTGACTTGTCTAAAGACATCAGAATAAGGTGCTACAATCTGCTCGGGAGTATGATTGCTATCAATAGAAGCGCTAGCCCAACCAAGTCCATCGTATGGTGCTTTTGCATTTGCATCGAGACCGAAGATGCCAAGGATCTTTGTAATCCATCGAGCAACTTTCTCAAGTCCCTGGATGTCAAGATCAGATTTGTGAGAGCCAATGTGGACATTCGATTCCTTGACTAGCTCTTGCAAAATAAGCATGGCTCTTGGTGTATCAAAAGATTCTGTGAGGGCGGTCTGAAGATCTGCCTGTGCCTTATCCAAAGCTGTTTGCAATTCTGGATGGATTGAGAGAGATTTCAAGTCCTCGACGGATGTCGAATTTCCACCCTCAATGATGTGAGATTTGACATTGACAAAGAAGTTGTTAACGCTCGCTTCCCATGCGTCAGCCATCAGTCTCATATCGGGCGAAATTTCAACCCCATCATTCCATCTTCCCATCAAAAACGCTATTCTCATTGACCTTGGAGTATAATCGGTAGCTAGTGCATCTCGAATAGTCTGAAAATTCTTCAATGACTTCGACATCTTTGATCCTGCAATAGAAAGATGCCCCATGTGCAAGAAGTAGTTTACCCACTCGTGTGGGCCATGCTCATGCTCGCAGAAATATGCCTCACTTTGTGCCAATTCGTTGTCGTGATGAGGAAAAGCGAGATCGATACCACCGGAGTGTATATCTATCTTTGATCCTAAAACATCGGAAGCCATAACGGAGCACTCGATATGCCATCCAGGTCTGCCTTCACCCCAGGGACTTGGCCAGCTTGGTTCTCCTGCTTTGGACTTCTTCCAGAGAGCAAAATCTCCCGCCCCTCGCTTACCACCCAAGTTTTTTGATAGTGATCCTTCTCCTTCTTCTTGCAAGGCTTTGTCGTTTCTACTTTCTGGCCGCAGTCGCGCATAAGGATTACCGGCTTTCTCAAATGCTGCAATATCGAAGTAAACCGATCCATCTGATTCATAAGCAAAGCCCTTGTCAATAATCTTCTTTACGAAGGTTGCGATCTTTGGTACATAGGTGGTAACTCGTGTGATAACATCTGGTCGCATAACATTCAATGCGTCCATGTCTTCCATAAATTGATCCTCCCAGTATTGAGTGACATTGGTGAAAATAGTATGGTCTTTCGTATCGATCGAATCCTTATACAAAGAATCGAGATAAGGGAGAAGAATCTCATCTGCTCCACCAAAGATCTTCTCTTGTTGTATGGCTTGCACCGCAGAAGAAAGATTGCTTATATGCATCTTCATCTTCGCTTCCGCATCTCCTGGTTTTCCTTCGCCTGTTAATGTTCCGCCCGCCAATACTTTTCCATATGCAATATCTCTTCTTTCTGCATAATTGTTAGGTGTAAGTTGGGTTCCATCTTTCAGTAGTTCGGGGAGGTTTGCTGTTGCGTAGGATTGGAAAGCTTCTGCAGCTAATCTTGCGAGCTCCGGTTCGGTATATGTTTTCGACTTCTCAAGCTCCAGTAGCTTTTGTCTTCGGGCTTTCAGGATAATCTGTGAAAAGATCATCAGTCAATTACCCCGCCATTCTAGATTCTATGCATCCCACCTTGTCATCGACATCGGTAATGTTCATAACAAAATTCAGATCAAATCCAAAATAATCTTTCATGATTCTTCGTATAATATCGGTAGAAACATAGTTCCTAGCATGACCCAAGTGCGAGTGATCATATACTGTCGGTCCGCAGACATACCAAGAAACCTTCCCTTTCTCAATAGGCACAAATGGGACTGGACCACCAGGCTTTAAAGAGTTATGAACTTTCAATTGATCCATTTTTGTGAAATTATTCGTAGTAAACTTTCGAACTGTAAGCAAATGAATATGAATATAAGAATTAGAGAAAGTAGAAAATCTTAGAGGGCGTAAGGGAAGAAACATTCAGTTGGTAGAAATATCATGAAGAAATTGAGTCACTTCTTTGTGTGATGATTATAGGTGAGTCAAGGGCAGGCTGATTCGTTGATTCAATACAATGTTACTCGACTATTATTCGGTGGGCTGAAAATAAAATTATCGGGGGGTCATCTTTTTCAGCCTCGTTGTAAGGTTCAAATCTAGCCTTGCGGTTATGAAATAATTTCTTTCGCATCAGAAGGAATGATATGAAAATCGAACAAGATAAAAAAGTCCAGAACTTCCTGAAGTCCTTATCACAAGCAACAACAACCTATGAGGTACTCACGATGAGTAATAAAAGATCACCATTCCTCTATCCTGGGGCGATTTCGTCTTCGGATCAATTGGCAATCTTACACTTAAAAAGAGATCTCCAAACTCCAACAATTCTCAAGAGCACCGACGAAAAGGATGAAGGATACGCAGAGGGAAAGGTGACGAACACTCGATTTGGATCTTTTCCCCACACAACGTTGATCGGAATACCATGGGGAACTCAAGTACTTGCATCAAAAGTTGATACGGGATCTAGAGGGCGAAGAGGCGACAAAAAACGAAAGCGAGACGATGTGGAAGCGGCCGAGACCGCGAAAACCGTGGAAGTGATCACGGAAAATACAGAAGACCAATCGTTAACTCCTGCGAGCACCAAAGAGATGACGGAAGCTGTAGCTGCTGGAAGCGGATTCATACATTTCTTACCCCCTACACCTGAAAATTGGACCAATTCCTTACCACATCGAACGCAAGTTGTTTACACGCCTGATTACAGTTATATTTTACATCGTATACGCGCAAGACCTGGAACGAGTATAATTGAAGCCGGAGCTGGCAGTGGATCCTTCACACATGCATCTACAAGAGCTGTATTTAATGGATATCCTGATGAACATACAATAAAGAAGCGCAAGTTGGGAAAAGTCTGGAGCTTCGAATTTCATGAACCGAGACATGCGAAATTAGTTGAGGAATTGCAAGAGCATGGATTAGATGAACTTGTGGAAATTACACATCGAGATGTTTGTGAAGAGGGATTCTTAGTTGATGGAAAAAGTCCAAAGGCTGAATCTATATTTCTGGACTTACCTGCTCCATGGTTAGCGCTCCCGCATCTTACTCGATCTTCTCCGCCTCCTATCAAGAACCCTAACGGCGGACTATCTCCAACGAAGCCCATCACCGAACCATTCGTTTCTGCTCTCAATCCAGAAGCGCCAGTTCATCTTTGCACTTTCTCCCCCTGTATCGAACAAGTGCAACGGACTATATCTGTCATGCGACAACTTGGCTGGGTCGATATTGAGATGGTAGAATTATCAGCAAAGCGATTTGAAATCCGGCGAGAACGAATTGGTATCGACAACGGAGTACAAAGAGGTCTGCAGATTACACCAGCCAATGTCGAGGAAGCCGTGAGTCGGTTATTAGAAGTCGAAACCGGACATCAAACTTTCCACAAGAAGGGTGAAGCTCCAGACAAAATGCCAAGACAAAATCCAAACACTAGGGAAACACTGATAAAGAGTTTGGTCGAGGGCAAGATTTATAAGGAAGGAAAATTAATACACAAGACAGAACCAGAAGTCAGGACTCACACTTCGTATCTGGTCTTTGCAGTGTTGCCGAGGGAGTGGAGTGAAGAGGATGAAAGAAAGGCAAGAGGGAAGTGGCAGGTGAACTTTAATGGCGAGACGGAAACTACTACGACAAAACAACTTGAGCTGCCTATGAGCAAGAGACAAATGAAGAAAGCAGCGAGAGCCAGCCATACCAAATCCGAGGCCGCTGCTGCTCCGCCGGCTGGTGATGGTGTGGGATCTGCAAATGGAGCTACTGGATCAATTAAAGAGAAGACTGGAGAAAATGTGAAGGCATAGCTTAGATAGCACATAACAGGCGTGGTAAAACATACTAGGTACTCTTACAGCACATTTTTCTCTTGCCTACAAATGAATAGTTTAACTGGGAAGGCTTGTAGGTGTGCCTGGATTCATTTGTTTAATTAGGGCTAATGAAGATTTACATCAAACCTTTCTCTCATTTACGGTTTATTATTTATTTCTACAAGAACGATGCTCCCTATGCAGACTTTTCATGGGAACAAAAGTACACATCTTGACATGAAACTCTTCATTGTTCGAACTAAAGTTCGGTCTAGTAATCAAAACGAAATTCAAAGAAAATTCAACTCACGGCTGGAGTTGCTTCTTCACTTTATCCTTCTAGAAGCTTACCGGGAATCAAATTCTACCATGACATAAGTACAAAATCATTAGCTTCAAGTAGTGTGTAAGATTGTGGAAATTCAACTATCTGGGTAGGTACTCAAGTGCTTACTGTAATGGTGGAGTTAGTGCAACTCCGCTGAAAGCATGCTAACCCCGACAACCCCTTTACTTGATAAAAGCCTCGAGTGTTTAACATCGTATTTCAATCTGCTCATTCTTACCGAAAACCAGCCTCCGATCAGATGCCAAATATACTATGACGGCACCAAGATCCTTCACCTGGCTAATAACAGGCGCCTCCTCTGGCAAAGGTAAATCTCTCGCTATTGAAGCTCTCAAGTCTGGCGCCAGAGTAGTTGGAACGAATCGTGACATAGACAAAGGCGAAATGTCTTTTCCTGAATTCGTGAAAAGAGGAGAAATTTGGATAACTTTAGATCCCGCTCATAAGGATGCATTTGAGATATTTTCGAGGTGCGCAACGGAGCACAACATCGACGTTTTGATTAATAACGCTGATTACACAATGATTGGTGGAGTGGAGGATACAAGGTCAGTTTTTTAAGATCATGCATGCGTCACGATAGGATTTTTGCTGACGTGCGTGCAAATAGCGAAGATGAAGTACGAGAGCAGATGGAGGTCAATTTCTATGGGCCCCTCCGAGCCGTACGAGCCTGTCTTCTAGTAATACGGCCAAAAGGATCAGGTCACCTTGTCCTTATAAGTAGTGGTGCCGGGTATGTCAAAAACCAGCTCGTGAGGTCCATTTTCACCATCCATTACAGTGCTCTTTGAGTTCCTTTGCTAAAACATTGCGCATGTAAAGGTTCATAGCGCGTCCGGCACGATCATCATATTCCGCCAGTCAATTTGCAATCGACGCAGTTTACGAATCCCTCTCTCATGAACTCAAGACTTCCGGCATCAGAGTTCTCATCGCAGAGCAAGGGGCATTCCGAACCCCGTTCGCGAGCAGCATCAGGACACCAGCTCAGTATCAAGTCAGCAATGGTTTCAGTGAAGCATACAAATGTACCGCAATCGAGCAGATGGTGAACGGGACTGTAACTATTCTGTTTTTTCCAGACTTTGTGAAAGGAGATTGTGATAAAGCTGCGCGAGCACTTGCCAATGCTGTCATAGGAGGACAAGATTATCTGCGTATGCCTCTAGAACCTGACTGTGTGACTACATTAGAAGACAATATTAGACAATTGCAAGAGGATTTAGATGCGACCAGATCCATCGCTACCGGTACTAATTTGGTTGATGAATTCAACCGAACAAAGATTTGGGTTTTGACCGGTTGATGTGAAGGCAAGGGGTTGCTGTGTCAATATCCCGAATTACATAGCAGGGCGCCCAATAATATCCTCTGAATGCACACAACTATGAGTGGCCAGTAAATGCATGTATCTACTGATATAATCGAGCATTGGACAAAATAACAAGTCTTGATTTCAGATACACAGATCTCCTTTCTTTAGTTGTCCAACATTGTGTTCAATCCCAAATGCAACATGGCAATGTCTTTCCATCTGCCATTGACTTTCAGATTCTTCTTCAGCAGACTTAGGATCGCCTGTGATAACCTGATCTAATACCGGTCCGAATCTGAGCCTACATTGTCCGGGATTCTTTCGTAATGGTTCAGCACCTAGACAAGACCTCCCCGACATTTGGTCAAGTTCGGGGTTACGGGTAGCTGCAACAATAGCTGAAAAGGAATTTGAATGCACTACCCCATTGGAGTGTATAGCGTGAATACCGACTGCTACAGCTATGATGGAAAATAAGAAGGCCAGGCCATACGATATTAGAAGCCAAAACGGATGGTATACATAATAATTCTTTGTGTTGGAGGTGAGAATTTTTTGCAGATCGCTATCACTCGTCAAATACGGCGAGCTGAGATAACTGATGGTGATGTTGTTTGCCAAATCTTCAATACCCCGCGCCAACGTTTGATTTCGACATAGCCAAGGTCGCGTTGTTGAAGTGAAGGTGTTGGTAAACGTAGAAGAGGGATTGCCGATAAGATATGAACTTTCATTCTTGAATGGGGTACTGGCAATTTCCTCACAGGCCATCAAACCTGTTCCAAGAATATTAGTTGTTCCATAACCGCTGTATTGTTCATTCTGACTAGTGCCAAGAGTGACATCTCGTAAAGTTATGTTCCCGCCGAGTATAGCGCCAAGAGCATATATATGCGGAATATATTGATTCCACAATACCTTTGCCGATCCGCCAGTTGCTGTTGCGATTGTAACAACATTTGAATCATTAATTGTAGGTCCGCTTTCTATATCACCGACGTCCATGTAAGAAAGATCATAATGTCCAATGACTTCGATATTTTGCTGAGTGACATACTGGACTCCATCAATGTACGATACTGCGATATTGAATGTCGCGTTCACCGCAGTACAAACCAATTCCGAGGTTGAAGTCTGGATCCATATTTGAGGATAATAGGACCCATGTAATACTAGTGGTGGTGGAAGAAACCCGGTGTTTGGTGTGCCTCCTGCATACCAAGAGCTCCACGAAGTATAAACAAGTCTACCAGAGCCCACACCGAACGTTGTGTTTGTACGATTATCATTTTGATCATCGTATGTAAAGATGTTGTTTTGTTCATAATACTTGGTGATGTTGTTGAATATGGCCTGCTGGGTGATGTTCGGCTCATTGCATTTTATCGACGGGCCATAAAACTGCAAAGTATATGACCATTTAGATCCGGATACTTGTCTAGATAACTCTAACACATTGATATTTGAGGCTGTATTTATCGCAATGGTATTGGTGATCGAGACTGCATTATACTGGCCATCCACAGAATCGTTCCAAACGGCTTTAGAATAATCAAGAATTGGTAAATGCACTTCTTCGGAAATGTTCTTTGCAACAATTGTCAAAGTTGCTGCAGGTGCAATACTTGCGAGTCCCAAAAGCCTATAAGAAATCAGTGACGGCTCTTCTTGCACATCAAATTTAGGGTCTCCAATAGTCTGAACTAGCAAAATAGATGTAGGATTTTGACATCTTATATCAACTGCACCATCGGAGTCATTTCGATTTCCTCTATTCTTGTATTGCGATTCAGACTAGCAGACCTCTGATATTTTAAAACATACCATGTAATGGCACCCAACAGAATGGCAAGTTTTGCTCCTTTCAATAGCTCGATACTGAATAGGGCTATGGGATCCGTTGACAAAGCAAAAAGACGATCTAAGTTTTCTGTTCTGTGGATTAGTTTAAGAATCTTGAAGCCTCACTATAAATAGTACTTATGCTTAATGGTTGGCGTTTGACAACTGTCCAGATATATTGGCCTAAAGCAGCCGTCGTTGTTGCCTTAAAGCAAGATATAATTAAAAAGGCAAACCCGGTGCCAATACGGGTGGGCCAAGCTTGTTTTTTTTCGTCGCCAGTGCTTTCGCCGCTGAGCGACATGTAGTAAAGGTGATGGACCAATGACAGAATGAAGCCAACCAAAAACATTAACCCAATGAACGAGGGTTTCTTCCAATGGATTCCCCAGGAAGCAAATGGAGGCCTTGAAGTTTGAGTAGCTTTCCTTTGGGTGTAAGAAATATCACCATCAGTCAAATATTTATCGGAAAATGATGATGATGATGATGATGCTGCTGCTACTACAAAGGTATGTTTATCACTGCCCACTGGTGTCGAGAGTAGTTTCTGATTGAAAGTAACATCATCGAGTGCTAGGTAGTCAATCGACTCATCGGCTGGTTTGCGCCGACTTAATTCGATCATTTTACTCGTAAAGGCTGCTTAGAGAAGTCTTGATCCTCATGAAAGATTGTTTCTAGCAGTTGAATGGAGATGTTAGACTTTGACACATGAGGCTAAAATTCTCTTATGTTTCGGCTTTTCCTTATAAGTTAACTATAATAATGTCTGCTAATATAATCCTAGGTAGCTGAGAAGAAGTTTGATCGTTTTTCATTTCCAGCCAATCCTGCTGTAAGATTCGCGACCTCGCCCATATTCACGCCCCATAAAAGATAAAGACACCGGTCTCGCCGGTATAACAGTGCTTGGGTGTCGCGTCAAGCCTTCACCGCCTGGATTTGAACCCTTCTCGCGATCTGAATAAGAAGTCCCAACATCAAGCCCAGATGCCGATAGACAATAAGGTCGAAATCTTACTTGGTTATCAGGATATTTTGAGCTTTTAACTGTGGAAAATAACCTTGAGACAACCTTGAGTCTTCGATCTCGGGGTTTGACTTTGTCTCCTGCCCCGTGTCATCCATATCAGTGTAACTCCCGAATGGTTGCATTCGAGGTTCGCAGCCAGCATAGTACTACAGTACCTGAATACTATTTCGTCTCGAAATATTCTGGTTTACGTGCTTAACAATTTTGTTGTCGGACAGCTACTTTTCACATCCGTACCATTGTTCTTATATACCAATACCATAAAATGTCTTGGGTCCCGTTGAGTGGTGAGCTGTTCAGGGGGTTGATATCAATACCAATTCCATTGATTTGGAGCGTCAGGTGACTCATTCATGTTACAACGGGGATATTTCTACAGAATTGGTAACTTGGTCTTGGTACTGTACTCCCCAGCCATCTTCTGAGGGGGCCATTATGCGAAAGCATTCTGTCAGTCACCCCTATGTACCCCGGTTTCACAACTTCAGCACTACAAGCCGCCGCCGCAAAAATTAACACCA